TGTATGCTGAGTTTGATGGAAAAGGGTTAAAGTCTATAAGAATGATGAGCCATCCAAACCAATCCAAAATCACCCTTGAAACGTCTTTAAAACATGAGATGATTCTTTATTTATCAACGTAAAATTTATTAAGTGGTATCTCATTCTTCTTCTAGCGCTTCTTCGAAAGGAAGATTTTTGTCCCTCAATTTTCAAGCTTGTAGACATAAATGTTTCTTGATTTATACGATCGTATTGGAAACTTTGGAATATTTGCTCAATGAAAAAACATAATTAGAAAGCAAAGGATGCTGATCAGACTGCAGTATATCCCTTTATCCCAGTACAAGGACCTTACATCTCTTCGTTATTTATTTAACGACTTTAAGGAGAAGACGGGAGAGTGGTGACTTAAATAACAACGACACAAGGTCGTACAACGCTAGTCAGAGCTATAGAATGTTTACGTATCTTTAGAAAAAATGATCTGCCCTAATATCATTTTCTAGAAAAAAAAAAAAAGGTGATAAATATAAAAATTCAAAAGCTGTTAAAAATTAAAAAAAAGCTGTTAAAAATTAAAAAAAAGGATAGTGTGATCATCAGAGAGGTTTCAAAGGAATAAGAATAGGCTGGTACTGTTTATATTTTGATGCGACTCTTCTCGAATCTCATTTTTTATTAACAAATTTGTGTTTCAAGCCAATAACATGAAAGGAAGTACACGTTTACTGCAAATCCTGCGTGAGACCGTACGAGAGATTGATAACTATACTTTTAAGTTCTTAGTGTTTGCACACAGCTGTGTGTCGTACATTTTCATGTCCATCAGCCTCTAGGGAGAAAAGAAAAACAAAATCATGAGCTCATCAAAATTGAGTGTGTACCCATACGTATTATATAGGTTATATGACCGCTCCCCATAAGGGCCTTTTAGAGCCAACACGCTACCCATCCCACCCCAGGGGAGGACATCCACCACACAGTGATCTCGTGCGTAGGAAATTAACGTCTCCTACCCCTAACCCTACAGGAGACGGGGTGCAGGAGACAGGGCCTACGGTTTATTCGTCCTTCTCCGAGAAGACTAGAATATCTATCCATTTCTTGTTATAGAAAGGTAGCAAATTCTCCTCAGTTATTTTAAGATCATGAGTACTGGTCCGGCCGGAGCTCGAACCCTCGACCTCCCGCTGAACACAATCCAACGCTCTATAGCTAACCCATTGAGCTATATTTTACGCGCCTGTATTCTCATGGCTAACGCTCGAAATTTCAGCTTTTGAAAACCAGTTGATAAAAAGAGACTATATTCTGAAATTAATACAGACGGTGGGTCTTAATGTCAACTTTTGATAAACTACATGGTAAATGGCTAAGACTTAATCCATCCCTGGTGAAAATCAGATCATTAAGTCCTCATTATCACAANAAAAAAAAACATTGAGCCTAAAGATTCCATCTAAAAATGGAAAAGCCTTTCAGGTTTAGATGGAGTCAAAACAAAATCTCGAGTATGGTTTTGAATTGAAGAAATGAAGTTAAGCTGCATTTTTCAAATTACCTTTGTCCTTCTTTCATAAACATTTTCCTGTTGCACGTCTCTGGCCATTCCAAAATCTGTTACTTTGCATGTTTCGTTTATCCCGACCAACACATTACGGGCTGCGAGGTCTCGGTGGATGATCTAACCACATGGAATGATAATCAATGGAGGATGATTACTTTGAGACTTCCATTCTTAATCGTAAAATCAAACTATTCAGTAGCTTTAATCAAGCAGGGTTCTAGCCATGTAACACGGCTTTAAGCCCCCCTTTCAACTATCAGCAGCCCACTAACGAGGAAATTCGTTGAAACTTCTGGCTGTCGCTTTGCAGACTAAGAAATTTGCGATTGCGCATACTAGGACTGGACTTAGTTCTTTAGCGTTTTTTAATGAAAACTCACAGATTTTGAGGACAAGTAACTCATTCCATCAGCGATTTGCCAAGCAAACTTCATCAGCTGCTGTGACGTTAGATTAGTTTGTGGTTCTACATCTGTGTCTTTGTAGCAAGTGTCCTTTAATCCACGGCTCTTTCTCAGGTAACCCTGCAGATTCCCGAAAGGCGCATATTCAATCAAAACCAACAGAGGCTCTGAAAAAAAATAAACGTCGAGGTAAATAATAAATTACTAAGCCAAGAAGAAATGATAAATGAATAATCCAGCTTGGGTCACCACTTGTAAAGGAATCGAACAGAACGAGATCAAGAAGAATGGGTGGTAAACTAAGCAACAGTCTCTTAAGAAAGTACAAACCATTTCTTTGCTTAAAAAAAGCGTTTTGCTTACATAACAGACTTATCATTTCAAGGGAAGTTATTTTCTGTGTTTTATGAATCTTCTATGTGGTGTATCAGAAAATCTAGGAGCGTCTTTGTTAAATTAGAGAAATAAATAAATAAAACTACCGTTAGCGATTCTTGTTTGCTGTGCTCAATTTTGATGGAGTGGCTCTTCCATTGTAGCAAATTATCTTTGACGTGGCGTTGTTACAGAGTAAATCTTAAGGAATATGCGTATAGTGAATTAACCCATACGACATAAAAAGCATACCAGATTCCGAAACGCATCCAAGAAGTTTGATGACATGCGGATGTAGTTTTAGCTGCTTCATTGTTTCAAGTTCTTTCATCAAATCTCTCTTGTCTGATTCAGAGGCGTCAGCTAGAGAATTAAAAGAGAGGAGTAAAAACTGGTTAACGGGAGTAATGTGAAAAATGCCGAGATAACAACTTAAGTTTTAAAATAGTATTGAGCTAAAAAAAGGAAGTTAAGAGTAGGCCTGGTAACTTCTTAAAACGAGTGTCGGCCAAAACTGTCATTAAATTTGATGAAATTTAACTCAAAAAACAAAATGGGAAAAAATTTCCAAATCAGTACAGTAACTAACATTTAAGCATCTTTATTGCCACTGTGGTCGTTTCAGGCCTCCCAAGAAGTCCTGCTACTTTTCCTTTGGCAACCTGGCCAAAAGCACCATTTCCAATGTTTTCTTCTATCGTAACGTTATTTCTTGGAACTTCCCAAGAGCGTTTTAATGGAATAAGAGGCGCGTAATCAGCAGCACCTGAAACATCATTTCGTGCTTTTCTGTCTTCTCTGCTGGCTTCTGTGAGATCTTTGTATTCTGCAGGAGGCTGAGTGAGTTTACTTTATTAATCAAACTTATGCATTCGGAAAAATCTGTAAAAAATCTAAATAACAGGTTATACCAAAAGATGAAGACGGCTTACCCACTTTCATCAGAGTTATGTTTATAGTCTTCTTTTATTATAGCTAAAAAGTAATAAAATTGTATTCTTCGTTGTGAAAAATGTTCATTTCCAAGGTATTGATCGAGATTTACAGCGTTTTCACCAAAACAACAACATGCAATTTCAAAACAGAAAGACCCCTATATTGGTGATGATCTCTCAAAAATGCACGCAGGACGAAACACTCGCCAACTTGACTTCCTAAGTGGTGATTATATGAGACAGATAAAATGTGGCAGAAAACGAAAACAAATCTCAACGGGACGCAGACCGATTGGTTGTGTATGTGGCTCAGTATTAGGGTTGAACTCGGGATAACCGATAACAAACTCAGTGAGTCGCTAGGTGGAGGACTTTATCCCAAGACAAAGTCCCTTTCTGGTCAAACAGTCTGCGCTATTACTTTGTACCTGCCGCCATTCAGTAGGCGTTTTTTTCGAAAAATCCCTCGTTTTCTCCTTCCATTTGTATTTTGTTAACGAAACCATAAGTAAAGAAGGATAACATAATTTCTGGTCACCCCAGAATGACCTCGATGTCTCAACTGTTACTTACGTCGGGAACAACTCTTTCATCTTCATAGGTCCTACAATGGACAAAGTATGCGAATATGTACAGTGTATAAACAGCCAAGATTATTTCCTCGCTTTTTTTAAAAGAGATAATATGTTAAGATATAACCATGCTTTACATCGACACAGTCCAAATGGGAGCAACTTCTTACCTCTTTTTGTCTACACCGCCTAAAAGAAGGGGAAAAAAGGTAATTATGGACTTATGCAAGAATTCCGCTTGGCAAAATTTATAATGATTCTTTCCATCCAAACCTCTAACATAAGTAATAAGTTTTTGCTCACCTTTCCTGTGAAGCCAAATTATGTAAGTTATTAATAGAAGGATTATCAAGGCAAGAAACCCAATTATGGCTTCTAACAAGACGTCGTTACAATGGCGGTTACATTCCTCAGAACCTGAAATGATTCGTTTTATAACGCTTAATCAGCTAACATTCAAACAGGGTTTGCATTGATCCAATACACTTCGCCCATTACACGTCTGAGGCCTGAACCGTGAAATCACACTCTGATTGGTTAGTACTGAGGAAAAGTAAGACGCGGCTCTCCTTAATAAATTTTTGAAGCTCCTGCCACCAACTTGACAGATTTCACAAAAATGTCTGAATAAAGAACTGTTACAACCAAGAAAAGCTGCTTACCCACCAAAAGCATCCCTTTCCCGCCATGCAGCCTTTGCCTTTTTGTTGTGTTACACAGTATGACACATTAAAAAGTATATTTATAACGATTTGAAAGACCAGTGAAACCACGTACATAAATATGGATATACCCTAACCAAGAGAAGTTTTTCTGGGTGTGTTTCTCTTGACTGAGATTAAATCTCAAACCAATTAATTCTCCATTGGAAAGCAAATCGCAGATGAAGATATCTGTGAGTTTCTGCTACAAATCGACTACAAGGTAAGTGTAAAAATAATTAAAATATTATTTAAAAGGAATACATTTAATAACAAACAAAACTCGTATTTAACTTACTTCCGGATGGTGTTACACAGTCTTCCTCGAAATCAGTAATAGATTTTGTCCTTTTCATAGCACTTATGCTGAAGTATCTAAGCCTCCCATCCTTGGCATCACGAAGTACTGTTATAACATCTTGCTCACTTGTTTTGGAATTGAATATAAGTGCTAGGTAAACACTTATACGATTGCACCTTAACAAAGACAGGATAAATTGGAGTGTATTAGAGACACGGAAAATTATAATTTACCAGCTGCCCCAAGCAAGTTTCAAACCTGATGCCACTTTTCAACAGCACACTTTTGAATCCTGCGAATGTACCAGGAAAAGCCTCTTTCACCTGTAGAACCAATAGAACAGTTAAAATGAACATGATCGTGACATTGAAGAGCTCGGCATGCGCCTTTACGCCCACCATGTATGCAGATAAAACAAATCAGTGTCCACTGAGGAAAATCATCATTTGGTTATGGTCGATTTGTCAGCATAACTTCTTTCAGGAAACCACTTCCTAGGATGCATATCAAAGTGCTTCGCAGACTCACTTTGAATTTTTGAGTACATAGTATAAAGTCGACAAAGTAAAACTGTTAAATACGTGAATTCCTCGCCCATTGACGGTTCTCGATTTCCCTTGGTAGGTAGCTATCATTGAACAACAGCCAAAACTATAATTGTAATTGCGTGATTTGCATGTAATATACCGCAACACCAATAATAGTAGAAATTAAGATATAAAAGATTGAAAAAAGTTTCTTTCAAAATGATACCACTTCTTCGAGTCTCGTCGGTAATGAGGATTGGTCGCATTGTCCATCAGTACAACTTTCACTGGTGATGACCAGGGTTATATTAATTACATTTCTTGCAATAACTGCGCATGTGAGGTAAAAGACAATACAGTTAGTCCCAAATGAAGGTCGAGTTATTGATATTTTTAGGACTTCTTAGCAAATTTATATATTTTTTTTCCACATGAAAGTAAACATCATTGTTAAAAATGCTGATAGGGACGAACACCAAGGGGCCGCCACTTTCACAGTACTGATCAAAACTCTAACACGTTATTTGGGAAAATTGTCTATGATCTCAAAAAGCAAGAAAGGGCATCTCAGAGGCCGGCATTTTTTAACACTTTCAGCGGAAGCATGTCTCTGCGCTTGCTAATGGGTTCCTACAAGGTTTAGTTAGGCGTGGAAATCAATCATGAGGGGTCCTTAACCGCACTTCTCTAATTTCGTGCTATATTATTTACTCGCTTGATAAATATATGTTATTGACCAGCGGGAGGTCCGTATTGGGAAAAACTGTGCCCGAGGTCTTGGATACCGCCTGAGGCCGTAGGCCGAGGGCGGTACTCAAGACAGGGCACAGTTTTTCCCAATACGGACAGACCTATACTGGTCAATAACATTTTTACTCTTTCTAACATATAAAATAAATGATTGCCATAAGAACCCGCATGATTTAGGGCTACAAGCACAAGTTTAACTACGGGAAAACCCTCCATAAACTTAACAATTTTTCAGCGAGTGGATGGTAAAGAAAACAGACGTTATCCAAACTAATGAGGAAGCTTTCACCGAAACATTTTTCATATGTTAAGGGAACTTAAAAGGCTTCCGAGCAAACTTTGAAACAGTTTTTTGATAAGTAACTGTCATGATGTGACACCTGTCAATTGAAGAGGAAAAAGGCGTACGCTTTTGAATAAACAACAGAACTGGTAGACAAAAATACACGGGTTAAACGATTATGCGACGATCTTCTGGTAAAAAAAAGAAAAACACTAGGAGATATTACGAAAAGATCTTCTTTCCAACGACGATTAATCTTCGAAGATTTATCTCCGTTCCGTTTTAAAATGTCACTGCCCAGCCGGCAAAACGAGATCTATTTGTGAAAACTTGCAACAAAGCTTGAGATGTTCCGCAAAATGACTTAAGCGAAACGGATACCGCCCGCTGCGAGCGGGCCGGTTGGGGAGAATACTGCCCGCTCTCGGAACCAACCAGATTGCAGGATTTGTAGAATACCGCCCGCTCATGAACTGAGAAAAAACTAAATGTAGGTTATTTTGTCATAATAACACATCTTGATCGATATCTTAAGATCAAAGTAGAAATTGACACAAGAGAACAATTAGTTCTTTTGAATAATTTAAAATTCTATTGTGCAACTTTAAAATGATCCTCGTAGGCATTAGATTAATGATTAGGAAAAGGTAATAATTACCGATGGTAAATTTACCTTCACAATCTGCCACACTAGATGATCGGTAGTAACCTTCTTTGCACATGCAACCAGTTCTGTCAGTATTTGGTGCTGAATATACAGGACAAGGTTTACACTTTGCATTACTAACAGAATCCTTGTAGAAGCCTCTCTGACAATCTAAAATAAAACAGTGTGCAATTTATAATATGCCTTTTCTTCAGTGCACACAATACAATGACCTTTGAAACGTTATTGTTAAGGCTCACTCCTAAAAATGACTTGCACTTAGGTCTTTGAAAAACACGTGTACATAAATTAAATCAACCCCCGACCTGGAGTTTTCATTCATAATGCTCACCTATTGAATGTCATAGAAATATATGCTTAAAAAACTACACATATATTATACATTTTAATTCAGTCAAATTTTATCTATTCTTATCTATTTCCTTTTTTTCATTTTGTTTCTTTTCCTCGCGTTTCTTTCCCTCTGTCCATTACAACACAGTTTGTACGAAAACGGATGCCCTTTATATTCTCAAAACTCCAAAAGGAATAAATATTAAACCAGTAAAAATAAACACATCGGAAAGATAGGGCTTATGAATTGGAAGATCTTTATTTTGCAAAGCAATCTCCATACACACCACGACGGCATTCCTTTCACAGTTCCACTCCTTTCGAAAAATAACGCGATACGGAATGATAAGAGATTTTGAACATGATATGGCCACTAGATAGGTGCGTCCATACGGCCTACGGTAATCTGTTAAAAAACCTGAGACGACTCGGAGCGCTCTTTCCTCAATAAACACCCTGTTAGGAATAAATTCCCCCCCCCCTTCTTTAGGGTACCGAAATTAATTATGTGCCCTGCTCGCCAAATAGAATCCGTACGGTATGCATCGAGCCTTTCATAAGCTTTCTATTAAACGATAAACGCATGGGCTGATCATTTACATAATTTGCCATTTCAATGTTAAAATATCTATTTTTGCATAGTGAAATCCAAGTTTTAAGTACAGCACTAACCTTTGCAGGCAAAAGAGTCTGAAGTTTCATTGCATTGGGTGAGTTTATAGCCATAATTGCAAAGGCAGTCTGAGTTATTTGTGATGTTCCACTCCCCATTACTAAGGCACACACCAATTATCTTTTCGTTGGGTCTTTCAAGTGAGTTAGGATCTGTACATTCTCCTTCTATTTTGGCTAAGTTGATATCATCTACTGGAGCAACAGTTCTTGAAAATCTAATGAAAGGAGCGACCCTTTCAGAGCAGAAATGATATCTTACAAGAAACTTTCTTACTCTCAAGCAAGCTCCTTGGTCTAAGAGTGCCAGATAAATTCCCTTTGCTTTCGTTACCACTGATCTATAAAATGTGTCTGTTGTGAGACTGCCAGGCGCAACAAGGATTTTTGGAGCTATGACAGTTTCTTTGTAGAACTTTACTCGTATTGGGACAGGATAATGATCTAGTCTGTTATCCGTATGATAAGAATAAAGGGTGAGGTTTGTTTTACAGAATGGCCCTACGTTAGCTGAGGGGTAGTGACATGCACGAATGGTGTAGGTTACTATAATATCGAGTCTTGTAGCATTCTTGATATTGATAAACTTCGTTAGTAACCAGTTGTTTGGTTCCTCAAGTTTGTTCGAAATATCACAGACTCTGGGAGGTGCCCAATAATTCTGCCACTGCGAGAGATAAAAGAGTCCAACCATTGAATTAATAAACATTAAATCTGAAAGCGATTGATCTGTGTACAATAAATTGTATACATGCAGGCACACTTTACCGAGATTTTCTGCACACGTACACGCTGGACGAGTAAGGAGCATTATCAGATGTGGTGACACCTGCAATGGTTGTTTAACATGAATTAAGAATCCTAAAAAGTAACCAAATCTGACTATCACAAACCAAACTTCCGAATGGCATAAGTTTATGTGCGATAGGCATAAAAAATCAGTCAACTATATTTCATTCCTACAGACCTGTTTCGTAGTTGCCCACTCATTAGGGTATTTTAAAATCCCCTGATGAGTGGGCAACCACGAAACAGATCTATAGGATGAAATGTGGTTAAATGATTTTTTCTGTCCATCACACGTTATACTCGCTCTACTGTATGTATCGAGCACTGTTTTACGGATATCAAGTTCAACTCCTCTAACTTGTTAAATATGTAGTGGTAAAATGTTAATTACCTAACTTATGTAATCATTGTTTAAAAATTGAGTTTATAAGATTCATCATAGATTATTAGTATAAGTGACAGTTTGCTGAAAAACTGTTTCAAAAGAAATCCAGTGCTTATATGAGAGTATGGATGATAACATGGCAAATAAAGGAAAATGCTATTTATTAACCTCTTGATTAAAGGTCCCAAGATAAACTTAGTCTCTTTTATTCTGACTAATTTTTTTTTCTTCAATTTACTTTCTTTGCATATAAGATGTGCGTTATCATATCTAACAATAGAGAATGAGTCTGGACCAAATCCATGGGAAATGATTGGTTCGAGTTTCGCAGCGACTTGAGGAAACAGGAATTTGAGATCAGTTACTGTACATCAACTGTGACTGTGCGGGTTTTTCTGGGCTCGTATTTGTCTCACACTCAATCTTCTTACCAGTGTTTACTTTTATTTAAAACCAGCCATGTTTTGCATGCTTTTCCAATTCATGTTCTTAACCTTTACCTTGATTCCTGTCGTAGGTGGGGTTTGCTATTACAAAACATGTACACGTATGCTTGATGCCAATAAAGTTAATGTTCATTAGTACACTTAATAAAGGGCTATGGAAATCAAGTATTTCACCCCTGTTCCTTCTTTACTTCCTTTTATGGTAGTCCAGTACCAATAGCTTGACCATCGTCCAGGTACCTCGAAAAGAGTTTCTGCAGAGGAATGGTAACGTTATAAACTTCACAAAAGAAATTATTGAAACAAGTAAATGCTCAATCGGCGTATGGACTTTGGTTGCGATTGCTTCTCTTTCAGCAAGTCAAAGTGAGTCTTTGCACTTCTCCCAGAGGGAAGCCAGTATATTAAGGAATAAACCCTCCCCCCTCACCCCCCACCTCCTTCAAATCTAAACATTAGGTGATATCTAGTAAGTAGAATTCATAAAATAGACAGCAATGTTTGAACTTTGTAGGGGATGTTACGTTATTTTCTCAACCGACAGAAAGATAGAACTCGTGCCAACTCAACTACTTTATTGACAGACGCAATAATCCTACTACGGGGCAATACCAATAGTTAATACCATAACTATCCTCTTATCTAAGAGCCCTCTATAAAAAATATAATCTCAGTGCACTACTGCACAACTCACTATTCTCTTCAATGATCCTTGTAGCTTATCGATGTCCACAAAACTTTTCCTAATGTAGCCTTCCACACGGCGGACGATTTCAGTAATAGTAAATAAGTCCAACGACTCTCTCTATCCCGCTCTGTAACAACAATAGCTCCTCTGGGCTCTTCACAACAACACTAACTCACTAAAAAAAGGTCTAACTTTAACCGATCGCGACTCCTTATATATGTTTTGCAAAATTGTCCTGGAATATTCCAGGGATCTGTAATAGACTATTTTTAGTATCGTTACATCACTATTGCATAATAACAAAATATGCTGCCTAAGGCTTCTAGAAAGTTCCATTAAGAGTTCCTAATGAGTCAGCATGACTAAGCGTTCCAGAAAATTCCTCAGTTCTATTTTTTTAGTAATTATGTAACACAACGAAAAATACCGGCACTCCCCTAACGGAGAATAAAGAAGAGTATCATTTGTCTTGTCTCAAGTTCAGGACAAAGTAAAAATTGTTGCACTTTTGATTGGGTTTCGGCTTATACTCAAGATATTTCAATAGTTTCTCCTTCGAAAGTCAGGGAGAGACTTGTAACAACTGAATGTTACGGCTTTCCATAGAAGCTGCGAAATATTTTCTAGTTTGGTTGACGCCACCGTGACTACTGATTTTAGATAGCAAATTATAGTAAGCGTTTTAGTTCAGGATAAAATCCCTCGTGATCAAGACCGTTTTTTGGAGTAGGAGACAAATTAGACCTACCTATTTTGTGAGTATATTGCGCGCCGTTAATTTAAAGTTAAACTTAACACGAGTTTTTAACGTGTATTTTTAGGTCTTTTAATTGCCACTTCCTTTCCAAAATTGACATTTTTTACGTTATTGTAACTCAATACTTGAGATAATTTCTCGATGTAGTGTTTTAAGTTGATCGCCTCGATCTAAGAACGCCTCAAGGAATGAGAAAAAGAATAAAGAAAGAAAGATCCTATATTTTTTGGCTTGATGTCTATCACGTGTGCGTGAATCGATAACTTTTAAGAAAAACAAGCTGGTGGCTCCTAAAGAAGGCCTTTGCGTGGGATAATAACTTGCAACTGAAAGTTTAAATCCATTCATTAATCATTATAGCTATATCTACGAAATGAAACCACCTAGTTAAATTAAACATTCGAGCGAAGTGATGAAAGTTAAAGAATCAATTGAAGTAAATTTCAAAATCGTCATCCGCTAATATGTATTGAGGCCAGGAATCGCTTATGATCATGTTTACCAAAGCATTATGCAAATCAAACGCAAAAAATACATGTCAAAATAAACACTAGCTCAATCCTACAGAATTACAATCCTGGACAAACTGGTGTGAATGGGTTTCAAAAAATGTACTGCCATTAAATAAGCCTCGTCAATGATTCTCTTTCAACCGCATACACCCAGCGTAGATGGAAAAAAAATTCAAACATGTAGGGGAAACTTGAAAAATTCCAAATTTTTTTCAAAGATTATCACTATACTTTCACAGTCAGTGCTAAAGTAAAGTGATAGATATGAAGGAATAAATCCCTGAATCGCTTGAAAGGCAATTTACGAAAACAACGTAGGTCCGCCGAAGCATTTACAGCCTGAACGGATGTATGCGCTTTTGCCCTTGACTGACAACCGAATGGACTCAGTCTAATCGTCCTCATGAGGGTTGCTTTGCTTATGGTCGGAAATCCAATCCCTTGCATGAGGATATCCAGTTTGATTAATTTTATTGCTGAACCCATTCAAAGGAAAGCAATAAAATAAGTAGATTTCCCTTGAGTTCAACTGACTGTTTGCAATCATATTTGCTCTTGTGGCTATGCAGTAAAATGTAGCAATGAACTTTGGACAAACCTTCAACCTTGACCCTTTGAAACCAAAGCACGTACCATACGATAGTTCAAGGCTCCATGTCAACATCTTTACAACATCGATGTCTGTGCAAGAATCGTTCAAGATCCTCAAGGACTTAATGAAGTGCTAACTTAATGAAGTGCTACTTAAACGAGAATGATCTTTTTCTTTCACTACAATCAGCCTATCGACAGCACCACAGTACAGAAACCGCCCTCCTTAAAGTCAAGAATGACATTTTGATGAACATGGAAGATCAGTGCGTCACGTCGCTTGTGTCTCTTGATTTAAGCGCCGCGTTTGATACCGTTGACCATCGCATTCCCTTCCATCGCCTTCAATCTGATTTTGGAATTTCAGGTTCTGCACTTAACTGGTTTGAATCGTACCTCTCTAACAGAACCCAGCGTATCTCTCTAGACGGAATCCAATCGAAAATTTTTTAATCTTGAATTTGGAGTTCCACATGGCAGCTGTCTCGGGCTGTTATTATTTTCTCTTTACGCCAGCAAGCTTTTTAGGATCATCGAAACGCATCTTCCTAATCCCCATTGTAATGCAGATAACATACAACTGTACATCGCGTTTAGACCAGAAAATGACATGGAGGAATTCGCTGCCTTAACTGCCATGGAATCATGTATCGCTGACAGTCAGTGGATGCAAACGGACAAGTTAAAACTAAATGCGGATAAGACAGAATTTCTTTTGATTGGAACGCGACAACAACTTCAGAAAGTCAGTAACATCAGCATCTTATCGGTTGGCGACTCTAAAATTGCCCAATCATTTGAAGTTCGAAACTTAGGAATCTGTTTTGATTCGAAGATGAGCATGCTTAGTCATATTAACAGAACTTGCTCATCCGCATTCTATCATCTTTACAACATACGTAGAATTAGGAAATATCTAAGTCGTTCAGTTACTGAAACATTAGTTAATGCTTTTATAACCAGTAGAATAGATTATTGTAACAGTCTACTATATGGCTTCCCTAATTCGCATGTCATGAAACTCCAACGGTTACAGAATGCCGCAGCTCGGTTGGTCACTGGATCACCAAAACACTGCCATGTTACACCATTACTTTTCCACCTTCATTGGCTTCCGATTAGTTCCCGTATAAAGCTTAAGATTCTCCTTTTGACATTTAAGTGTTTATACGGTCTAGCCCCTAACTATTTGACTGATTTAATTAGCATCAGAAAACGATGCAGGTACTCTCTTAGGTCAAACGAGTTTTTATTACTCGAATTATTAAGCACCAGGACCCGTCTAACCCTTGGTGATCGTGCCTTCCAATCAGCGCCGCACCCCATCTTTGGAATGCATTACCTTCGACAGTTCGTAACATAAAGACATTGGACACTTTCAAGACTGCTATCAAAACTAATTTTTTTAACCTAGCTTTCAAATAGATTTTTATTCTTACTTATGTTTCTTATTCACTTAGCTAGGCTATTGTTCTATTTGAGTGCATAGACTCGTAGGTTCCAATAAGTTCTTATACCTCAGTTACTTTTGCCATAATTTTATCTTACGATATTGTGAAGTGCGACTGAATATTTTTATATAGAGGTCTGCGCTATATAAATGTGAGTTATTATTAAATTATTATTAAGTGCTTTGAAGATCTTTAATTATCCACTCGAGGATCCCATAAGATCTTTATAGGATTTTTAAGGATTTCATTAGCATTGCGCAAAAAATATCTATTTATGCCGAAGTTTTTTATTGACAAAATTCTTATGAATTTCAAAGATAAAGAAAGGACGACGTGAAGTATTTGAGAATATCGAGAATCGATGGACACTTACAGAGAATAATTTGTTTTTGAGTAGCCATAAAACTAATTTGAGCGAATGTATTTAAGGAAAACATTTCAAGGTTTCACTAACTTATCTCTCGAGAGAAGTTTCAAAAGTTTGAACCATTGAAATGAGAGCATTTTTTTTTCTTCTAATTAGAAATGCACATTTTTGTGTTGGTAAAAACGATATCTGTTGAAGTCGTTTGAATGATTTATCCAAAGAATTTCACCTCTAGCAAATTTTTTTGTCTGCCATTGAATTTCTGTCAAAATGTACGTGACATACAGAGCAGAAAGATTTATGCAAACTTATGTTCTCTTTTTGGAATGGAAAAATAAGATGATAAAAGGAAAAGCTGCAATGACGTTGCACTTGAATCGAGTTTTCCTTAATCCTCTGATAGTAAACGTTTTTTGTAACGACATTACGAGTACCAAAAAACGGTCGTTACGACTGCGTCATATCAGTAAACAATGACGTGTAAATCAGACATCTTTTTGACAAAATTTAGCGGCAGCAGGTAAATTATTCCTAACAATCTGCTGATGAAAACATTTCCCATCATTTGCTAGTGACATAACGATGAAAAAGATGAATTAATTAAATTTGAATCAGTAATATTAGAGTGAGAGGGCTAAAAATGAGAAATTATAGAACAGCAACCAAACAAAAACAACTGTTAAGAAGACAATCACCGCGATACATCACGCCACGCAGACTTACAACACACTGAAACGAGAATATAGCATCGAAATATATTAATTAAGAGTATCATAGCAAGGAAGATGATCAAGGCTCTTAATTAAAATATATATTTCGCTAATAAACAAACTCTTACGTTTTCATAGCAATGCACATTGCTAAGATGAAAAGAAAAATCCGATACGCTTCTCTTTAATCGTCTTTGAAATTATTGCTTCCCTTTCAACGGTCGATACAATAAAATTTATAAAATCAGATGTATTCAACTGCTTACTTTTGTCCCTAATTGTACCCGCAAACGGTGCTTTTGTAATGATGTGCAACTCAACTTTCTCTGCATGCAGTGGTTAAATTATTATATATGTTTCTTGAAATTTGGCTGTATTTACGATCCTTTCATAATTACATGAGTTCCTTTCACTTGCGGTGAGTTTTGAGGATCCTGGGGCGAAAGCGAAAGATCCTTTAGGATGTCAGCAGTAAAGTTAAAGTTCCTCGAGGATCTTGGCAAGAAAGTGAAAGATCGTTGGAGATGTTGGCAGGAAAATGAAAGATCGTTGAAGATCTTGGCAACAATATGAAAGATCTTTGAATATCTTTACAAGAATTTTGAAGATTCTCAAAGCCGGAGTTTTCTAAGGTTTCTGTCAAGATCCTTAAATTTCTCTATGGAGATCTATTTGGATAGAAGAATTCTTCAGAGATTTTCACCGTATGTATTGGCAAAAGGGTACGCATCCGTTCCCCACCTGATTATTAACATATTTCGTATCTCACCTACACTTGTTTGGATAAAGTTTTATCTTTAGTAATAATAATTTAAGTTTTCTTCAGTTTTCTGTGATTGGTTACATATATTGTCAAATGGTATGTGCAACGACAAGGCATTGACCAAATAAATATACAGTAAATATAAATTTAGATAGATCAATCGATTGATAGATGGATCACTGAACAGATATTTTATTGTTGTCAGGAAATGTTAAAATGGACTTCTGTAATTTTTTGCCATAAGCCTTTATGTAACTCAAGTCAATCTGTAAGTGCAAAATGATTTCCGTAATCTGTTGTAGCTCTTCATTTGTCCACATCATAATTTATAACTCATTCAACCTTGAGGTCGTTGTATCATAGTGATGAAATGCCGAAGTTACTGCTCAAAAATAATTGTTTTAAAGTTCACAGCGTATTATGACTTCGGCTCTATTTATCAAATTCTACGGAAGCGATCACTAATTAATCCAAATTAAGGAAAACAATCAACTCTGAAAGTTATTTAATTCTCAAATCAAAACCCAGCCGGAATCTACTTTGAAACTTTTCGAACGGTGAAAGGTTGGACACTGCACGAGTGATAACGATTGGAGAAGAGTTACGAATACTAAAACCCACAAATATACCTTAATTCAAGCCGTTTTGATACAAATACCGCAAACATTTTTCAAGCAAACTGAACAGCATTGTATCCGGGAGCAGTTTTAACAATCTATTGTCGTTTTAAGACAGTTTGTGTCGAAGGTAAAAGCGAGTCCAGATGTTTTACTTTCTGCCTTGTCGAACTCAACGCAATTTCGATCGACTTTGGCTTGGCAGAACTTGACGACCTTAATTGCTTCCCGAACTTATTTACAAATTTTAATTTAGACGCTATGCTTTTTTGGAAGCTCATTCCTGAATTAGGCTCGACATGGCGGGAGTATGAAGTCTGAACTGCACTTGAAACGTCTCCAGTCGTTTACAGCCTCTAATGAGGAGAGATGCGAACTCTTACCTGTATCTCCTGAGATTCCACGTAAAATAGCGACAAAAGCAAGCCAAAGAACTAAAGTTGTATGATATGACCTCATTGTTTAAAAATTCAACCGAGTAATGGTCTTAAGTGATATAGAATTGCTTCCTGCAGCACTTCCTTCGCTTTGTGCGACTTCTAATTAAACGTCAAAGATGACAACCTATGCACAATATCAAACAGGTCAGACCTTAACGACCTCGCCCATTAATGTAAAGTAGGCAAGGCATTTCAGTCATGTAGGGAACTGGGCCAAACCTAAATGATTTACAATTTAAGACCAAACAAAGAAGATTTTCAAGGTCAATACATTCTTTCCAGGGTCCCCATCTAGTGCACATGAAGAAGAGGCTTTAGGTTCAAATATGCAATGCTTTAAAGCTGTTGTGTTTTATTTTTTCTTTTTGTTTTGTTTACTCTTGATATTGATAGAAAAGCTTCCCATGAGAGATCCGTAGCTTTCCGTTTTGTCCAAAAAAAGAGAAGACTTCGGGTGATTTGTAAGGAAAAATCGTTCTCGACTATTCTTTAAACTTTCCTTAAATATTCTCTACCAATGTCTATTTCAAAGATAAAAAAGTCACCATTCTTGCTAAAGAGATTCTATGGCCCAATCTGATTCATTGAAACCATTTGAAAGACTGTAGGCGATTCATTCAAGTTATTTAACCCTTGGGATCACAATTTCCGCTCAAGTTGTTGAAGCATCAGACACTACTCCCGACAACCGTATTCTCCAAAAATTCCCTCTACCGCCCGATCTGACTATAAGAACAACCGATCAGATATTCTATCTGTAAATTTGTTGAAATATTTAATATTAAAACTCCCGCTTCCTAAATACTTCAAGCTTCAGATTAAGCTAGAGTCCTTTCACTTCAATTAGCCGTGATATTCGTTAAAAAAAGAAAAATTCTTCTGGTTCAATAAATTTAAGTAATAATATGGACCCAGATTGTGCCCCTGTGGCAATGGTTTTAAGATGCAGCATACTATAAACCTATTAACATGCAGGTGGGCGACCCGTGTAGGTAGGTAACCTGCCTAGTCGGAGAAGAAAAATAACCCACGCAAGGAGCAATGGCTCCCGACCACGTTTCTATACAATCTTATCAACCCAGAATCGAGTGTGTAGTTTTCGGGGGAAGTTGGAGCGCTTCCCGATGCGAGAGGCGAAAGATCCTCAGTTTAAAATGGCCAAGCAGCCACAAATCCAACGCCGAATCCAAGCCAATACGTCCTTGTTTCATTTCATCTCATTCGCCGAGCAATCTGGCCACGGCAACCGACGTCAAGCGGCAGTTTCATTTTCAAAATCCAAGCCAAAAGGACGCTGAAGATGCTAGTACCTTTTCACTGTGACACACGACCGTTGAAAACCCGCTTGGTAACCCTGCCTCCTCTACAAACGAAGCCTCACAAGGGTACCACACAGTCTAAATCGCCCAATCAAATTAGCGCGGCAATCGCGGCTAACGTGACACTCAGAGGAAAGCCTTCCACGATATGATTGCAATATTGTTTTGGTATAATTGTAATCATCAAAAGCACGCTTTTTTGGGGAAAACATTTGTCTTTAGCTCAGATATCGAGATCAGCTTGAAGGCGTACGACGTTGTTTTGAATATACGTAAACATTGCCGCCCTAATTTTTTTGGGCGATTTTAATAGACAAAGGCCTCTTGTGGAATCTACCTGAGGAGAGCCGGAGTTCGAACTAAAACTGTCGATGACAATTGACGTATTGGCTTGGATTCGGCGTTGGATTTTTGGCTGCTAAGCCATTTTAAGCTGAGGATTTTTCGCATTTGGCATCGGGCATTCCAAAGTGGAGTGTGCAGCCTTGTCCTTTCTCTTACAGTTGAAAACTCGGGGTTAAAGGAAATCGCTTAAATCGCAATGGATCGGGAAAATAACCAAACAGAAAGTAATAACAAGCAAAGTAGACACGGTAAGCTGTGTTTTATTGATAATTGTAGTGATTACTTGAACCGTTTACCTGGAATTCCATAGAAATCCTTTATATTCACGGCCGTTTCAAATTACGCAATATAAAACCAAATGTATTAATGATTAACCTCTCACACTGAGTTTGGGCCGCCTGTGAATGACTTCGTTATCACCAGAGGAGAAGGAGTTAGAAGGATTTAGAATAGGCTGGTACATCTTACACTGTAATTTACCCTAATGGATCCCTATATGTGACCCTTTTGAATTTCAGCTTCTTTTAAACAAGTTATATTTCTAGCCAACTACTAGTAAAAAACTACACGTTTACTGCAAATCCTGCGTTAGACAAATACGAGAAATTGATGACTATACGTTTAAATCCTCAAAGTTTGCGTACAACTGCTTGTCGTACATTTTCATGTTGATCAGTCTCTATAGAGAAAAAAAA